AGCCGCCCCCGCCAGGCTTCTGTGCAATCACAGGCTCCCAGTGCCGATCACGGCCCCGCCTCCCAGCCTGGGAGTCCCTGGGAAGCCTGGAGGGGGCAGGGGGAGTAGCTGGGAGGCGGGGCATAATTGGGTTGCTTCTGGCCTAGGAGTGACGCCTTGGGCAGGAGAAGAAGCTCTGTCCCTGGGCGCTGTTCAAGCAGGGTGTGGAGCCGTAGTCCAGGACAGAAGCCCACAGGTGATTTGTGGTTGTTTAGGCGCTTTCCATGGGCTCTCAGCCAAAACTGAGTGGGGTGGAATTCCCACTTCTTTCCACTGGGACACCCGAAGACTTGGCTATGGGGGAGTCACCTTCCTACCCATGGTCGCTCCACCCTGCCATTGTGTTGCCCTGGGGTCTGCCTCTCTGCTTTGGGTAGCAGGTGGCTGCTTTGCAGAGCAGGCTCTGCTGCTAGGGTTGCCAGGTGTCCGGTATTTCACCCGGACAGTCCACTATTTTTGGCTCCTGTCCGGTAAAAAAATTCAGAGAATACAGGACACCTAAAATGTCGGGTATTTTCTGAACTTTTCCCCGGCCAGGAGGCAAAAATGCCGGGTACCTGGCAACCCTACAAACACTCAGCGCCCGGCCTCCCCCCTGGCTCCCAACACTCCCAGGTCCCCTGCTTACCTGGTTCCCCAGGCTGCCGGCACAAAATGGCTGCCAGCCAAAAGACCTAGGGGAAGCAATGCTGTCTCCTGGGTCTTAGTGCTCAACTACTCCCCTGTTCCTAGCCCTGCACTCGCTCTTAAAGGGGACATGCTGTTTTATTTTATTTTATTTTCTCAACAACTTTGTCCCCCCCCCCTTTTTTTCCCCTTCAACGGAATTATTTCCCTTGGGGGGGAAAAGAGGGGTGTTCAGTATTTTTGTTTCAACCATTTGGCAACCCTATATATTATAGCTTCTTTCAGGGGTTCTTGCCTTGCAAGCTGTTGATGCCGGCCACATCCAGAGACAGAATACTAGCCTAGATGCACCCTGGTCTAATCTAGGTGGACAGTTCTCATTGTCCTATGCTTTTTAATGGTGTTTCATGAACTCAACATGTTTTGATAGTACTGCTTGGATACATTTGTCAGCTTCTGTTGCTAGGGGTTACTATCAGATGGCTAATTGCTGGCAGTATTCAGCCAGCTCAGGGGAAAGTGATCATGTTGTTTCCTAGCCAGTTTGCATAACATCGTCTGGCAGCTTTGAGTCAGAGCTGACTAAATAATACCATCACTTTATTTGGCAGCCATCACCTAGGCCTCTGCTTTTGGCTTGCCAGCATATAGAATCCTAGAGCTGGAAGAGACCTCAGGAGGTCATCAAGTCCAGCCCCCTGCTCAAAGCAGGACCAACCCCAACTAAATCAACCCAGCCAGGGCTTTGTCAAGCTAAGACTTAAAAGCCTCTAGGGATGGAGACTCCACCACCTCCCTAGGTAACCTATTGCAGTGCTTCATCACCCTCCTAGGGAAATAGTTTTTCCTAATATCCAACCTAGACCTCCCCCACTGTAACTTGAGACCATTGCTCCTCATTCTGTCATCTGTCACTACTGAGAACAGCCTTTCTCCATCCTCTTTTGAACCTCTCTTCAGGAAGTTGAAGGCTGCTATCAAATCCCCCCTCACTCGTCTCTTCTGCCGACTAAACAAACCCAAATCCCTCAGTCTCTCCTCATAGGTTATGTGCTCCAGCCCCTTAATCATGTTGGTGGATAACAAGCTCCCCTAACTGGTTAATTATGCAAAGTTAATTTGAAACAACAGCTGTTATTTTGAATTAACTTTAATAGCATCTATACATGCAAACCGCTATTGAAATTAATTCGAAATAGTGGAGCATTTATTTTGAATTTGATTAACCTCATTCTATGAGGAGTAACGCCAAAATTTGAAATAGCTATTTCGAATTAAGTGCTGTGTAGACACTTAATTCGAAATAGGGGGCCTCCAGCCCTTCCCAGGGAGCCCTGGTGGCCACTCTGGACACAACCAGGAAAACTTACTCTCCTCTCCCCCTGCCCCGGAGCTCTTAAAGGGGTAGAGCCAGGCTACTGGCCACATGCGAGCCAGAAGTCTGCCTGTAGAGAGCCAGCACTGCCAGCCCCGTCATGAGCCATGCAGGCAGTGCCAGTGCAGTGTCCCCCACCCAGTCCCCCAGCTCCCAGGGGCCAGCCAGGGGCCATAGACGGCACGCACCCACCTGGACTGGTGTGGAAATCATGGACCTCATGGTTTGGGGGGAGGACCCCAATGTCCATGATCTCCTCGCCATGTGGAGGAACGCGGCTGTCTATCGCCGCAGAGCGGCCACCATGGCCAGAAAAGGCCACAGGCATAAGCAGCAGCAGGTGCGCCTCAAAATAAAAGAACTTCGGCAGGAGTACGCCAGGGCCACCAGGGGTGGCGCCGAAGCAGGGGCTGACACCTGCCCCTACTTCCCCGCCCTCTCCCACCCTCTCTCTTCTCCTCTCCTACCTCCTTTTCCCAGTCTCTCCAGAGGTTAATCCTTCCCCCCCCAGTTTTGTTTCATAAACCAAGTTTCTATTTTTGAACACACGTGTCTTGTTTGACATCAGGAAGGGGGGCTAGGTAGGGGTAAGTGGAAGGACGTGAGGGAGGAATAGGGCACGAGCCCCCAGTGAGGAGGACCGGGGTGGCTCTGAGGTCTCCTCGGGGTGGACGCTCTCCTGCAGGGCCTCCTGGATCCTGACAACCCCCCCGATGAACCCTCTCCCGGATGGCAGCCTGCAGCAAGTGCAGCCGGGCTGATGGCAACGACCCCACGAGACGCACTGGCATGCCCAGGGGCAGCTCTAGCTCCATGTGGCTGAGTGCTGTGGTATCCAGAGTGCGGGCACTCAGGGCACTCCAATACAGGACTGCTTTGCTGTCCCTCATCGAGGTAGAGAAGCAAGCAGGTAGCCCTGAGAACTGTCTGTCCGGGGTCAGAGTAGGGTCCCTTTAAGCACGGAGCTCAATTAGCCTCAGGCAGCAGCCCCACACACTAAGTCCTAATCTGATGCCCTGCCAGCACTGGTTCCTGCCAGCCTTAACTTCGGTTCAGGGTCCACTCAGTGTGGACGCACTATTTCGAAATAGCAAAACGCTATTTCGAAATAGGTTTTGGGCGTATATGCGTTAATTCAAATTAGCTTAATTCAAATTAACCATTTTGAATTAAGTTAACTGGAATTAACACTGTAGTGTAGATGTACCCCAAGATGATTTGACTAATCACTACATAATCCACAGGGCAAGGACTGATTATGTGAAATCTAAGTTGTTTGGACTAAACACACAAGTCACAGGGTACCATATTGAACAGCACAAACTGGTCATCTCTGGTCTCCACAATGCTCTTCCTGTACCTTGTGTTCTGTCCTGCCTGTAGGGCTATGTCCAATCCTGTTTTGTGTGAAGCATTAGAAAGAAGCCAGAGCTTGGTTTTGTTCTGATGATCCTGCGCTGCATGGAACCTTTGTTCCTAGAAGCAGAAAACTGCTTACCTGGTGCTTGGATCATACAAATAATTTATAGGAGATTTGACATCCCCAAACACAGCTAGATTTATTTCTTTGTATGTTTTTAGTTCATAGAGGGTAGGGACTGAGACCAAGACCACGTTGTCCTGGATACTGTACAAACACAGTAATGGACAGCACCTGCCCTAGAGTGCTCACAGTCTGACAAGTAGGCATATCCTGGGAGAGGGACTGGACACTCAACCAGAGAGAACAGCTTCTTAAGGTATGTCTACACTATGAATGTAGGTCAAATTGAATAAGGTCATCTCTTTAGCATCCAAATTTACAAAGTCAAAGGTGTGTGTCCTCATTGGGCACATGAGGTTGCGTCCCCAGTAATGTGGCTGCCTTTAACAGTGACTCACTGTGGGGAATAGTGATAGAAACAAAATACAGGACTATGTAGCACTTTAAAGACTAACAAGATGGTTTATTAGGTGATGAGCTTTCATGGGCCAGACCCACTTCCTTAGATCAAATAGTGGAAGAAAATTGGCACAACCATATATACCACAGGATACAATAAAAAAAATGAACACATATGAAAAGGACAAAACAAATTTCAGAACAGAAGGGGCATGAGGGGGGGAGGTAAATGTCTGTGAGCTAATGATATTAGAGGTTATAATTGGGGAAGCTATCTTTGTAATGGGTAAGGTAATTAGTGCCTTTCATTGTTAACCTAGGTGTAAAGGGTCAAATTTAAGCATGAATGACAGTTCAGAGGATTCTCTTTCAAGTCTGGTGTTAAAATGTCTTTGAAGCAGTCATTTTAACATTTAAAAGTGTCATTTAAAAGTGCCCACAAAAGCTCATCACCTAATAAACCATCTTGTTAGTCTTTACTACATAGTCCTGTTTTTTGTTTCACTGTGGGGAGGCATCCCCAGTTCCCATCACCATTTGCATTCTGGGTTAGGCTCCCAGTGCCAGATGGGACAAAACCATAACAGTAAGTGCTTCTGGGTACAATGTTGTTGGCCTTCCCATCTCCACCCATCTCCTCCCAATGGCAAACAATCTTTTTGCACCCTTTCTTCCCTGGTTATCAGTGCAGATGCCTTAGCAAGGCAAGCATGGATCCTGCTCAGCTTCAAACTGCTGTGGCAAACATTGCAAACACCTTACACATTACGTTATGGTTTGTCCAGAACTCCTTTGTCTTGTGATACTCTTGCCTGACCTCCTTTATTTTCATGTGGCACTGCTGGGTGTTCCTGCTTGTATCATTTTTCTGCCATTCCCTGTGCAATCTTGGCATAAATAGCAGTGTTTCTTTTGCTGCTTCAGAGCTCTGCCAGCACAGATTCCTCTCCCCATGCAGAAATCAGATCCAGGATCTCCTGCACATTCCAGGGTCATTGGTGACCCTGGGAATTCATGGTCAGGTGTGCTGCTGTGTTTGTCACGCTGGCCAAACAGGATATGATACTCAAAATTTCCCAGGGCTTTTCCTGTGTATTTGGGAGAGCAGCAGAGTTGAAAGTATTGGCCAGAGAGGTCACATTGGGGCACCGTGGGACACTTCCGGGAGTCCAAGAATGTTGACTAACAGTGCTGCTTCTGCACTATCTCAAAATCTGTTTGCCACCCCACACCCGTATGCCTGCAGACTGCAACTCCCCCTTTCCTCGGAGACCTGCAAAGTGGGAGGGGGAAAACTGTTATTTGGGATTATCCCTTTAAACCCTTTGCAAACGGCAGCAAACCTGGGGGTCATGATTTGATACACCAACACACCCTTGCACACATGCATGTGCATTTTCTGAGCTCAAATGCTGGCACCACTAGGACAGTTGTCAATCTAGCACTACTCTTCTTAAGGAGGACAGAAATTGACTTTAAACACCCTGGCTGCATCTAGACTGGCATGATTTTCCGCAAATGCTTTTAACGGAAAAGTTTTTCGTTAAAAGCATTTGCAGAAAAGAGCGCCTAGATTGGCACGGATGCTTTTCCGCAAAAGCACTTTTTGCGGAAAAGCGTCCATGCCAATCTAGACGTGCTTTTGCGCAAAAAAGCCCTGATCGCCATTTTTGCGATCGGGGCTTTTTTGCGCAAAACAAATCTAAGCTGTCTACACTGGCCCTTTTGCGCAAAAGGTTTTACACAAAAGAACTTTTGCCCAAACGGGAGCAGCATAGTATTTCCGCAAGAAGCACAGATTTCTTACATGAGATCGTCAGTGTTCTTG